TAATTTAACTATTTATATATTGTGTTGAGCAACACCAACGCGTATTAGTCCCCACGATCATTCAGTCCGATCAGCACACAGTCGTTATCTTAGTGGATATAGTGTTATAATTGCACTGGGGTTGGTATTGTTGCTAAATACCTGAGTACCCTACCCTTACAGTATGTTATCTAAATACTTGCTGTGAAAAGTTATTATTTGTAAATAATGACATATAATGTGGTGTAATTATATAAATTACGACTTATAAACTAATGCATATACGGTACCACACGGAGTTCCACCACAAAACGTCAGCAGTTTATCACATTTATTTATAATAATCGTTCTAGTTAAAATGTAGCGCTGAATTGCCCAATATGACCAATGACCCTATACAATACCCCAATAATGACATCCAGAAAAATAGCCGATCGGTGACCATGGCAACATACTTCCAGTTCTCCATCATCTAAACGAAAAACAGAAAAGAACTTCTCTCAGAGACTCGATCTTGTTAATGTGTATTTGCAATTCTTTAAATTCACAGTTGCAAATTCTGTGTATATACGTCATATCTGTGGGCACTGTCACGTCACGGCTCATTTAAAGTTGTTTCAACAAAAACAAAAATTCACTGGTTCATCCAAACTAAAATGTACACCAAGAACCCCACCCTCTAGTGACAATGCGCTTCCGTGACGTCGACATGACGTAAATGATTAAAAGTACAACATGATCACTCTCCTTTGTTTGTATAGTCATTCTTTCTTTTTCTTTTTCTATTTACATTCACTGAACAAAACAATGGCCCTTTTCTCTCACTTGTGCCGCATAGCTAGAGGGCGCATGTTTCAGGAAAAGTATATTGTTTTCAGAAAATCATGGTTCCCCTCCAAACAAATATTTACTTACCTACACGATGATGTAATAGAAAAATTGCTTTAAACTAGTGGTTAGCTACGAACATGAAGGAGCGATCTGTCGGATTTGGAGACTCACTTGGACGCACACAGATCATCTGACAAGGACACCTAAACATGGTCTTCACTTAGACGCACACAGATCATTTGACAAGGACACCTAAACATGGTCTATGGTATCGTATCACTGCATGAATTTTGAAAGTATCAGTCTGGTTATACTTGTATCTAATATAAATTCACGTACATGGAGTAAGTTTCAACCTACCTCTTCCTGACTTTCTTCAGTTTCAACAGAACTCCGCAAATAATGGGCATCATCAAACAACTTGTTGAGCAGTTCCATCTTGTTGCCATCGCTACGTGTAACTTCTTGATCATCACACTTGTTCATAGTCTCCTCTAAACGTACAATGGCAAGCATGGTTTCTGTGTTGCCGTGGTGATCAGTATGATTTGCATAAATCTGCGCACAGCCTGCCGGCGATACCAATGGTTTCAGAAACATTAGTTTTGGGAGGTACCTGAAGAATACCTTTCGCATGAACGGACTCATGCTCTGCATGTGCCGTGGTCGATGGTGCAGTCGCAGCACGAATATCGCCACGGTGATGGAGAACGCTACATGACACGTGTTAAAAAGAAGGTAGCGACCGATCAGTGGGACGCTGTCCGAGCTTGCCGGCAACATTTCCGCGACCATCAGAGTAAAAACCGACATGGCTATTAGGATTGATACGCCAAACGACATTTTCTCACCCGAGTCTGACGGTAAGAAGAATAACAATAAAGTCAGCAGTGCCATAATGATGGCAGGAATTATTATGTTGACGATATAAAACAGGGGCTTCCTCCGTAATACAAGGGTATAAACCACCTTGTCCCACGTGACCAAATCGTCATCCGAATAATGGTAGTCCATTTCAACTGTGGAATTGATGATAATCCATTCGGAATTCGGAGCTAGCATGGAAATTGTTACTTTGTTGTTTAGTGGATTCAGTGTTAACATATCGGTAGTGTATTCCCACGGTCCGAACACCAATTCGCATTTCTGGACATCAAAAGGGAAAAATTCGATGTCGATCGGACAGGGCGTTTCAAAGATTGCAGGCGGTGAGTATTGGATTACGCCCTCTGAAGTTACGGGAACCCTTTCTGTTTTAAGAATATAACTGTCATGGTTGGCACTGAAAAAATAAACATACTGTAGATGCATTAATTATTCACCGGGTTTTAACTTATGCTAAATTAAATTTACGTGAACATATAAAATAACAATAAAACTCAGTGTTTCTTTTACAAATTCGTGAAATTAAAATACAGTGATTATGCACAAAACATTAAAATAGCGAAATTAAACGTCAGTGAAAATAAATGGTTTTACAGTATTAATTTTAAAATATGTAATAAATATGCATTGCATAATTAAAAATGATAAATATGGTGGCGCTATATTTTATATTATAATGTTGGTTCTACACTTATACACGCATATTCATCGTCAATTAAATGTGTAACTATTATGTTAATACCTATTTTGTATAACGACACCAGGGTTCCATATCCAGCTTGTAGGTACGATAACTGTACTCAGATTACCATAGTCGGATGGATTCCACTGTAGATGCTCGTCTTTCCATTGCTGTCGTGAAAACACAAAACAATTGATTGGTTGGTTGGTTGGTTAATTGAATGATTGATTGATTGATTGATTGATTGATTGATTGATTGATTGATTGATTGAGAATGCCTGACCGTTCTTACCTGGATTAGCCAACAGCTTGTTTTCAGTAGTTGATGTCTTTCGTTCTAAAACAAATATAGCTATATTATGAATTCAAGTAGCCTCGATCTATGTATATATACGTGTAACATCTTTTCTAGTTTCCTTTTCACTTTTCAGGAATCGTGGCTGTTCTTACTTTCTGTTGTGACATATAAATTAATCTTGGCGCTGTTTTATTATTATGCCCAATTTCATACATATGTTAAAAATAGAAATAAATATTTGACATGCGCATGCAATATCGAAATTATATGTAAATTGTACGTATAATTCCGGACAGAAAATCAATAATATTAATAATGGGCATTATAATACTGATTTCAGGTATTTGATATTTGCACACTGCTCATAATGTGAAATCATTCACAGACAAAAAAAACACCAGCATATTGCAACGATTCCAGCAAATTAGTTGTCATCAGTCGCAGGGCTTGTGTCCATTGCAAGGGACATTCCGTAACAATTCAATGAGAAATTGATCTGTCTCTAATTCTAATTTGTATTCAAAATGCAGTGCAATTCATATATACATCAATCACTCACTTATTTGACCAGGAAATGCAAGTGTGTGTTTGTGCTGAAAAAAACATCGAAATTAGACATTTCTTGGGTCTCGGCTATTTACAGGTGAATTTTGTTCAAACTTGGTACATACATAATTATGGAACCTTAATGAAGGTCAATTTGGTTTTCACATGAATGAATACTGTTCGTAAGCAATATCTGACATGCCCTAACTGATAATGTTCAACCTTTATATATATGCACAGTATTAGTTTGATGATCAGATTCAAGAATTGCAATGTCAATCATTTTAATATTAAAAAAGTCATTATAATCAAGCATCAGCTTCTGGATCAATATCTCTGACATGTTTTATGCTCAAACTACTGTATATTGAATATTATGGTATACACTAATGAAACATCACTAAGGAAACCCCGATGAAATATGTAGGGCAGCGCGCGTTTAACGGGACATTTAAACTCAAAGTTTCTTGGAATTAGTAATACAATTCTCATCAATGCTATTTAGCGTAGGTATATATCGGGAATGAATCACAGTCTGCATACTACAAGTGACGTGGAGACATACTACAGACGGCAAATCTGGAAGCTGAATCCATAATACACGAAATGAACATCCGTTAACGTCTACGCACAATTATGTCATAAGTGATATGGTGATGGACAAGTGATATTAAAACTGTCGCTGGGTATATAAAAACTAATAAATGTGGCAATCTAAGCACAGTTACCCGTAATCATTTCTTCGATTAACAACTGTTTACACTCCATTAAACCTTATCAATTTCAGATTATGTACATAGCAACATTCATTGGAAATGTTAATTTATCACAGGCAGTGCGCGTGTTAGTGTTCATTACATCAAATTGGATATAGCTTAATGCCTCAGTAATTTAGTAATGTGTCATTTTCCACGCGCATACGGTAAAACAATCCTTTCCATTGGATTTCATGGGACATTTGATTGTTTTTGGATGTTGAAGCTTAGTATAGGTCTCCCTCATTTATTTTTAAAGAGACGCTGCCCATCCAAGGTTTTGCATCATTAGATTCCATGGGATATTGTTGTTTTAATTTGCAAGTTTTTACCTTTTCCCAATATCCTGTTAGATTAGACTACAATAAGTCACACCATTAACCGCGTAATTTTGTTGACTACTACAGGAAGTTTTGATTGCCATCTCTATCCATGGGGAAATTTAATTACTGACCAACAGCAAAGAAAGAGAATTCTATCGGTACCCGAGGGAGTCCAGTGATTAAATTAGTCACGATTAATGTAGAGATGATAAGTATTGTGTACATGTCCTGTCCTAAATCTATTACCTTTGATGTCAAGTACGTAATTATATTAAACAATCATACTGGCGTTATTTGTTCCTTGACATTTGATGACGCGAGGTTCACAATAAGATGTACGCCGCCGTGTCATGGTTATGTGGCATTTGTGCCCTGATCATAAATATCCCTTGCTCTTCATTTTATCAAGTTATGCAGTCATGGTTAATCTAACCATCATGGATTTATTCATAACAGGTAACAATCTTCTCAACATTACTAATGTTATATGTAAACAAAGAGTTATAATATGAATGTACGCCATGCTGGGTGTTAAGCGACGGAGATCTCACGCGAATTGAAGAAGAGTCGCGCGAATCTCTAGATGATATCAAAATTGCACGACAAACATACATTTCTTGAAATACGTATGCAAATGAGTGAACATATGGGTAGTGACTTATTCATTTTTTTAATGTAATTTTTAGTGTCCATACGTAAATATTATTGATTTCTGATTATATATATGTAATATTATTGGTGCATTATACCATTAATATTGCTAACTCTCAATGTTTTCAATGTGTTTTAGCAATTACCCTACACGATATGTTAGACGTAAATTATGCAACCACTTATGTTAAGTCATAACATATCTTATAACATCAACAGAAATTATTTCTTACCACATCTAAAAGTAACGTGACGACAAGGCCCACTATCAGTATAACCGCCCGATCATGTCGAATAGGTCGGGCATGTTTACTGTAATTGGCGAAGAGGTCTGTCTGTAACCGTTGCTCAATTCCGAATCCATTCAGACCTGCACGAACAGAAGTGAACTGATGAGGTTAATGAACTCTGATAGATCGTATACGTAACTGAGTCTTGAGATTTCGTTGAGAATAAGACAGCCACGAGACTTGTGCTTTGCCCTCCCCGAAATAGTTTGTCAATCTATGACGCCATCGCGCCAACTGCGCCCCACCCCCTGCCTTGGAAAGACTGGAATACTATTTCAAGGCAAAACCAATAAGATATATTAATATATGTTACGAGGAGTTTCAACATTTCAATTTTCAGTGTCCCAAAGCATGCCGAACAGATATTACCAACTTATCGATTGACCACATTATACAAGCGATAATACTATACATGTATAACAATGTGCACATGACGTAAGAAAAGTACTTACTTGAATACATGAGTGACATAACAACCAAAACATAGACACACTGAACCATTGTCGTGATGGGAAAAGAACTTCTCGTAAAACGTCTCTGTGAAAATGTGTTGCTGAGTTTGTAAAAGAATATTTCAATAGTAGTATATGTGGTGTATATATATATATATATAACCACTGACAGGAAGTGACATCAATACTTGCCAAGGCAAAATAAACTGACATCAATGAGCCTAACAATTCCAGTTGTTGAGTGTATCTATTTAAATAACCATCTATTTTCGTGTGAATTTAAACATGGACGTATTTTCTATAAACCTGTTATCTATGTTTGCAATGCATTCGATTAATAAGACAATGCATTTCAATGTTTCTATTTTCTTTTCTGGAATCTAACTCAATTAAGAATGTTAACTCAACAATAATGACAATTTCGCCATTAATTAAAAATCAAACTTTGTTGGCGGCATAAATATAAATGGAAAATAATTATGATATTTTAACAAGCAAAACCGAATAATTTAAACTTATGGTAGTCAAACTCGAATTGTGGTACTTAAATAAATCCATACATTTTATTTTTATTTTTCATATTAAGAATTTTGATCTAGATCTTTAGTCATTAGAAATAATGTAAATTTGTTCCAAAATTCCTGGAAAAAATACGGATATTTCTCTACAGCAATTGTGAATATTGGTGTCCATACATTCTATTGATAATCTCGACAGTATATTGACATTGGTGTTCGATAATATGTGTTCCATGCTTGTCTCTAATATTTCATATTTATTAAATAGATAATTAGTAACCCCATGAGCATATTGTGTATATCTGTAGTATATACTACTTTATCTTGACAATACACAATACACGTTGGTGTTATATAATTATAAACTTATTCGATACATTCAATACTTTATAACCCCCCCCCCAAACATAGCACGTTGAATGTTGTACGAAGCAAAACGCTATCCGTAATATATTGTGTTACTATTTTAACTATGCGTTTAATTATAATAAATATTGAAAATTGATATTGATCATTTATAAAAACGGAATAAAGCGGAAAACACTATACTGAATACCGAAGGCGTTATCAAATCGATAACGTACCGATCCTCTCTGCGGTTATAGCCGCGAATACAATATCTCATGTAAATAAGCGTAACTTATTAACTGACGCAGTTCCCATTTTCACTTTCTAATTTATAGATTAAAGATAATTTATTTTGACATATTTATATTTATATGAGTGATCACGGTTGCGATAACAAACAGAACAAATTCAACTATGAATATATTTACCTGGGAAAATATTCCTATTATCAGATATCGAATAGGCTATAGAAATCCCGCTATAGAAAACGAAACAAAACTACAAATATTATTACAAGACAAGTCTAGATCGTTACCATCTCGTACGCGAGAAGTGATTTCTGGTACACCAACTGGACCCTACCTCTACGAAGCAACACAGGACATCGCACAACAACGAAGAGCAAAGAACGTTCATTAAGAGTGAAACTTACAGTCGATCACGGTCTGCCTCTTCCTGGATACTCTGTGCGTGGCAGGTCACTCTGAGATTACTCAGAACTAAAGAAATATAATTATCGCCTGTCAACGAGCTCCTAGCTATCAGTGGCTGTCACGCCGATAATGAATACGTCACCGTGACAGCGACAACTGACGCCGCGGCGATCTTTGTAAATTTCATAATGGGATTAGTACATACAGCGCGTATTTGATAATAGTGCCACAAAAGACGCTGCGCTGACGGGCAAAATACGCCCTCAAATATGAGAAACTGATTGATTGTGTTGTTTTCGATTATAGTCATATATTACACAGTCGGGCTTTATATTATCGCTTATTATTGATACCTATCTTACAATAAAAAGAGTACATGTAAGGAGAATAACAAATATATATATATACATGTATATCATGCACCATGTTTTGATTAAATGTATAAAATGGTCATAATTTAAATGTAGGGTACATGATGGACAGCATTCATTATATTGCACACTGCAATAAAGTACGTGTAATTGTGGTAATGTGTCCAATTCTAATTTTTTTAAAACACCAATTTGTTGTTATGTTAATCATCGAAAAGAAATACAATTTATTTGTAACAATTAAATTATCAGATTTTACTGAAAGTGAAAACGTAAGGAAGACACTAGAATATTTTTGCCCGATAATCTGAAAATTCACTTCCAATTTATTTTGTTTTTTTTTTCTTTGGTTTAATAATAAAATTCATGTCATGTTGATGTTTTTTTTTATTGGCGGGGAGGATCTTTACATTGTTCGAAATCTTACAATTTGATAGATTGCTTCAATACCCTATGCCGTGGATATTTATGAAATCCAAAATATAGTTTATTGATTTATTTGTAATATTAGTAAGTTTGAATATAAATTTTAAGTTCAGAATGCATATGCATTATTGTATATAATCGATTCAATATCATTATTTATTTTCTTTAGCAGATTTAACCAGTTTAGACAACTTCGTGAATGTTCTATACAATTCAGAGTAACTTGATTTGTAAGTCGCATTAATCAATATATTTCATTATGACCATGACATTGTGCCGAGTCAAATATTCCTTTTTATTAATTAATTTCCATGACAAAAAATAAAGAAATGCATTTACTTCTAAAATATCATGATTCACGAAAGCTATTCAAAAGACAGTGATTTAATGAATGAACAGTGATAAAATGCCAGTGAAGGCTCCCCTGAGATATGCGCACCTGATTAAAAATGTATGATGAAGGACATGTTGTGTTTAATAGTAAAACTGACAGAAATTTGAAATATGCTACTCTAGGTATAGCAACTAACGAAATAAAAGTGGTCGTTTTTATGGCACTGTGAAATCATAAAAACAGATAATTCATCAGTTACAGTATATAACGTAAATTATACACCGACAAAGTGAATGGCAGCGCGAATCGCCATTCAGCAGCTGTGTAATAGCTGGCGATTTCCGGGAGTATTGAGACAAGTCATAGTGCTACTGACTATAATTCTCCACTGCAAACTTTGGGCCTGTTTAAACCTACGTTACATGAAATATAAACAAATATCGAATGAAATACAGTATTAATAAGGTAAACTGTGTACGTTGCTGGCCAGCCACCACCAATAATGACTACGTATTCACTAACTATATAATATTATTATAATACGTGAATTTATTTGGTATGACAGACAATACGTACTTTATCTATGGTATCAACATGGCTCTGTATTTAATATATTGTTGGACAGTCAGTAAAAGGTCGTGTGTCATATACAAAACTTGCATAACATTCAGCAAACTTGAAGTCAGCATGTGCTTGTCTTGTCCTGACTGTGTTGAATACTACTGTAGAAAAGATACATGTGGAGTGACAGTCAGTAGCTCAGAATCATCGATCAACTGTCGGACACGCGATGTACTGATACGTCATTTGGAGCATTGGTATGTCGCGTGACGCATGTTAAAACTGTTCATGTTAAATGGAACTTAGTAACACAAACGCATTGAATTCTAGTTCAAAAACTAAGCATATTTATTTAAAAGTAACTTCACAAGAAAATACGTTAAATTTATTGAATTAATACGTACACAAATTACAATATATAATCATTGAAACAAACTATTTCCATCATCGTGACTTCGGTGGTGAAATAACATAACTCTGTAGTGTAATGTAGTGTAGTGTAGTGTAGTGTAGTGTAGTGTAGTGTAGTGTAGTGTAGTGTAGTGTAGTGTAGTGTAGTGTAGTGTAGTGTAGTGTAGTGTAGTGTAGTGGCAGCCATTTTATGACGTCTGTGTTTTTATGCAAATTGGAGAACATGCTTTTATTAAAAATTCAGAAATGAATGGTATTTGACATGTTCATCTATTGTTATATTTATTATGAACTATTGATTGAAAGGCAAAATATGGCATAAAAGTAATTAGTATGGCTGCCTTTAATAATATGTGACCCTACACACTGCGGGTTAAATGTTGAATATCTTGTTAGCTACAAGTGATATCGGAGGGATCTTCAGAAAATTTTTTTTTAATCAGAGCACTTTTAGCACACATACATTTATTAGACCAACCTACAATTTAATCAATTTTTTTGTTTCTTGAATAAAACAACAACAAGGAAAATCATATTCAACGAATGTATTATACATCACAAAGCAATAACGCATTTCGCGAATCATTTACCAGGAAGATTCGATTTTAGAAATAGAAAGCAAACGAATACCCGAAAGCAACGTATTTAACGTGGAATTTGTCCACCAGGTTTGCTTTGTATTACTAAATAAATATAAAGTTATATATTTTAATATAATTTTGGTTGATAGAAAATATCATATTGAACATGAATTCTACATATCATGTTACACAGGTGATTTCCCATGGGATCAATTACACTGTCTGATGTGTACCGCAGGTTTCTTCATGATTCGGAATGACATACTGTGGGTGGTGCATGTGGAGAAGTATGAGCCCACTTAAAACAACTGATACAACATGTTCCGTAACTTTTGTTTAAAGGGCGACAGTCGTCGTGCCGCGTCCTGTTCGATATGGGACTCATAGCGACGTATACAACGCGTGTGAAATACATTGTTTATTTACATGAAATTCGAACACGCGCTGCGCGACGACCACCGCGCTTTAACGATATACGGTTGGGTATGTTATTTCTACTTCGATAACCTTTGACTGAGTCGGAAGAATAATAACGTTCATTTAAAAGACGATATCACTCACACATACATTAATATATGAATGACCAAAACAAATCAAAATAATTTTTATATGACATTGACACATATCATAAACAATTTGACATATTTCACTCCACATTTCAGCGCTTGTTTTGTAATTCTAGTATATATAAATATTTACAATGGTTATGTAAAATTAAAAATGGCCGTGTTGACCAAACTGTTTGCACCGTTGGTTTTACGTGTATAAATATATACTGATGCATATTACTGTATTAAGTCTAGAGACACAACATTACATAATAATTACAGAGACAAATAGTGTTTTCATCACAATATCGCTAGCAATTTACTAGTAGTGTTGTCGTGTCATTTCATCGGCGTTCCCTCTTGATTACCGATCTACTATAGGAATGACAGGACGACTACTCACACGGAGATTGGCAGTTGGTGTTTGGCTTCCATAAATAGTAACAAACGTATATCGTAGTTATCAAACATGGTAGATATAAGAGAACCGCAGTATGTCTTTATTGATACGCATCAGGATTGCCAAACATAACCAGTGTTCCGATGCAATAAATCAACAACGATATCCAGAAAAACAACCAATCTGTAACCATGGCAACGTACCTCCACTTCTCCAACATCTAAGAAAAAAAAGAAAAAGATGCATATGTATATCAGGTTATAGTCTTCTATGCCTACGTATTTTGCGTGTGTGAGTCTCAAAAAAGCACACAACTCAAGGAATCTTTCAACGGTCATGAGCAGAAACCATTAAAATTGACAATTCAGCTAAATGAACAAATGAAATCTGTGCTAAAATCATGACCATGTCAGGTTATTCCTATATCAGGCATAACCTTATAAGACGCTTAAAACACTACAGTCGCCACACAGCGCGCTTTCCAGTGTTTCCAGTAAAAACGGTGTATTTACAACGTTGCATGAAACTCATATTGAGTACGACCTGAAACGGCCAATGGTTATATGCTATAACCTGGTTATGCCATGATACACAAGATAAAAGTAACAACTCCGAAAATGCGACAAATTTACTACAAATTAAGCTATTTGATTTGCAGAAACGTTCTAACTTCACGACAGCCGTGATACAAATTCGTTACATCTTACCCACTTTATGCTTACGGCACATGTACCGTGAATTAACTTACACAAACAGTCAGCAAACTGTGGTTTATAGTCAGAGGCTGAACTGAACTGAACAAATATTTTCAAGATTCCACGGTTTTTCAAAATCATTTTTTTCCTGGCTCGGTCCGGGAGATAGAGCACTACTACAAAGAATGGACAGGCACGACTTGCAACGAAAAAGACTGATGAATGGCGGCTTTGACGACTGACTCGGACATACTAGTAATACCGTGTGATACTAAAGTAAATATCCTTAGAATATGTTCATACCTCTTTCTTGCTTTCCTCCACTTCCATTGAATTTCGTAAATAATGAACATCATCGTACAACTTGTCGAGAATCTGCATCATACTGTTGTCATCGCTACGTGAAACTTCTTTGGGCTGCTTGTCATACTTCTGCAAAGATTCTTCAACGTTTTCGATGATCATTTGCGACTTCCTGTTCCCATGATGATTTTGAACATTTGGGTGAATGCTCGGAGCACACCCAGTTCGTTCTAGTGGCTTTAGACACATAATTTTTGGTAGATACGTGAGGAATAGCTTCTGTACAAACGGACTCATTTTCAACATGTGCTGAGGTCGGTGGTGTAATCGCAAAACAAATATGGCAATAGCGATGGAGAGAGCGACAAGACACGTGTTAAACAGAAGGTAACGCCCGATCAGTGGGACGCTGTCCGAACTGTGGGGCAACATCTCCCCCACCAGCAAAGTGAAAACCGACATCGCTATCAGGATTGATACGCTAAATGACATTTTCTCACCCGAGTCGGCTGGGAGGAAAAACAACAATAAAGTCAACAGCGCCATCATAATAGAAGGAATGACTATGTTGATGACGTAATACAGGGGTTTTCTGTGCAATTCGAGAGTAAATGTCATAATATGCCAGGATAGTTCACCATTTTCAGAGAATTCTTCATAAAGTGAAACCGATGAATTTATAATATCCCATTCAGAGTTCGGGGCTAGGAGGGCATTGAATATACGATCACTTTCTTGAGTCAATAGCAACTGGTCTACGGTGTAGTCCCACGGTCCAAACACCAACTCACATTTCTGCACATCAAAGGGAAAAAAGTCGAGATTCATTCGGCATGGTGTTTCGAAGATTGCAGGTGGGGTGTAAGTTATTGAACCGTCCGACTCTATACCTAGTCTTTCTGTTTCAGAAATATAAAAATCATTGCCCGCACTGAAAAATACAACAAATACGGCAACAGATGAGGTATCATTCACAATGACTGTGCTGTCACTAGTTGTAGTTTCAAATTTGAGGTGCAATTAAGACAACGTTGATGGTGTTGTTGAAACTTTAATGGAGTGTGGTACTCGTTTGTTTAATCCAAACATATGAAGTTTATAATTCTTGATTAACCTCGACCAAACACTGAAGATTATTGCTCCAGATTTTTTGTCACGGGTCCTTCTCTAACAACACAACAAATAGTGCAATCTAAATCATTTCCTTACCTATTTTGTATAACGACACCAGGATTCCATATCCAGCTTGTAGGTACGATAACTGTACTCAGATTACCATAGTCGGATGGATCCCACTGTAGGCGCTTGTCTTGCCAATACTGTTGTAACAATGAAATGCTAGATTGAAATAGTTGATTGAAATAATCGATTGAAATGATTGATCGATCAATCGAAAAATTGATTGATTTGTTAATTGATTGATCGATCGATTCTGCAGTCATTCACTCGTTTTATTCATTCATTTATTAACTCGTTCGTTTGTTAATCTATTCATTCATTCATTCATTCATTCGTTCGTTTATTCGTTCATTCATTCATTCATTCATTCATTCATTCATTCATTCATCGACTGATTTATTTGACCTCACCTGATTTAACCAGCAACTTGTCTTTAATATCTGCTGTTTCTCGACCTAAAATATCATTAGACATTCTAGTTAGTTTGACATTTGATTTTTTGATAATTACATGGCTGCCGCAATTAAACAATTCCCACTAGCAGTCAATCTTTTGTAAAAACTTACGCAGAATACTCAACAATTTCGGAACATCATTTACACTCTGAGTTTAAGAAATACTAAAGTTGCGAATATAAAGTAGAATATAACGCGAAATGCGGTGTTATGGGCAACACGCACATCAGATTTGCTTCTGAAAATACAGCTAATAAATGTGAACAACACATCGTTGCACAAAAAGTTTGAAATAGAGTCAAATTAACCGGCACAGAGCACTTACAATTACGAACCAAACAATTGGCTCGTGCATAAAAATACTTGGCTCCTTGGTATAAATAATCACTAACGAAATCCAAATTAGAACCATTTAGATACACATGGGGGACACTATGCACTTTTATAGTGTTTAATATACATTGAGACGGGTACTGGCGAACTAGGACTTTTGCCGCTACTCTTGTAACGAATGTGTAATTGTTCCGGAGATAATTTGTTCGGATGTTATTTTATTGTGAAAACTTGATCTTCTTTTGATTGTCTTGCTTAAAAACTTACAACTTTGAAAACATCTATTGTTACAGTAGGGAAAAAAATAGAAATAACCATCCCCAAAGTTGAGTAACTTACTTCATCATAATCAGTTCACGACTCCAAGTCGTTGTATAGGAGTTTCGGTGTTATGTAATCGGACGCAATGTAAAAGAGTGTAATCACAGAGAAAATATATTTTTTTAACTTACTAGTCAACAAAACAATCGCATACGTTCAACAGAGTGTTACACTTGTTTGAAACTTATTAAATATCAATTATTCTTAAGTGTGTTTCTTTTATCCGGTGCATTTTAAAGAACGTTTGTCGTCTCATCGCGTCCTTTTCGATTTAGGTCCCAGCCACATACGTGTTTAAAATATCCATTAAACGAAAAATCGAACTCAGTTTCATGAGATTACCCTTCCCGGGGGCTATAGCCTATATTTTATCAAATGAGTATGATCGATGATCGAAAGCAAATGAGGTTATTACAGCAATGATGCCGTACATAAGAACATAATACATTTAAATACATCTAACATCTGTACGTAACGTCGTAATAATATCTGCAAAGTAAATACTTGTGACAGGGTACTGACTGGTACGTCTGTTACTAGTACTAGTCGCATTACCAATGTAAATTGAGATTACCAATTAATATTGGAGCCACGGAAGTGACGTCATACAATTTCCGATTGATTAACAATGTTCAATTTAAGTATGCCATAATCATATTTCCAAATAAAAGTGACAAACTGAAGGAAATCATTTGTGATTATTTCTTAATGAGATTTCTTTGTTTACCGATCCATTAAAAAAGTCGGCCTTATACGTGTGTTCCTTTTTAACTCCGTTGACAAGTATCCACTGGGCATACATTAGAGGTCTCATTGTGAATACAGTTCAATATTGAAGCATTCAGTATTATCGCGGGACCCTTGACTAATATTACCATGCTGGGAATAAATTATTAGAAATCTCCAAAGGAAATAAAAAATGACAGAATTTTGGCAAACAATAAATATCAGGATATTAAGCTATATATCATGTCATTAATCCGTCGACATATACAGACAATTAATATGTAAAGAACCACAATGATTCCAGGCATTAATTATTTCCGACATGAAAAGGGATTAAAAGTTAACCTTGACATCTCTCACGGATCATCACAATAAAATTACATCATTGTCCGATGAAGCGATGGATTTAAATTTAATCATGAATTTTTAAACATTTAATGCATTAGTGTGTGAATGGGATTCTTGGATATATTCTCGAAATATGTGTTGATTGTACTGCAATTCAAGTACAATTTGAAAATCGATCTCAGGATCACTGTTATTAAGTTGTGAAATTAAAGCTGAACACAGGCACAAATCTGATGAATTGTTCATATTGGGAGAGCTTTGTTTGGGTTATTATCGATAAGTGAGATTTGTGTATGCCTTCACTTTCAATGACTTTTGTGTAGTTTCATAAACCAATCTTATCGCTATTTTGTCATTATTTATTCTCAGTCTCATGTGTTGCGTGTAATACGTATCGTTCCCAGCAATAACAAATCCATCTAATATATATATACAATATTTACTACAGTTACCAAAGCTCATTCGGGTATTGTTGTTGAAAAACTCATATTTTAATTTGACAATGTCAATGTCATTGCCAGCATTTGCTCTGAAGAATTGCCAAAAAACAATATTCTAGCAAAAACAATAAGAAAATTCATATTAAATCACGCGTCTCTCAAAATTGATATAACAAAAACAGAAGGTAGCGTAGTTTCGACATGCAGTGTAACGAACATTTCATGTTAGATGACGTCATTAGTAGGAAGGATCGTGGTTTCTCATTGTCAACATTTTTAATGCTAACACAAGTGAAATTACGATAAAAAAACACAAATTACAGGGGAAACGTCAAAAAATTGAAACAGAATAATAACAAAGACGCATGATGATTTTAAAACGTTTTTTTTTTGTATAGCAAACAATAACATAACCTACGGCCCTGAGCGTTTGTATTGACGTAAATACGGTTGATCGCAATGCACACCACTTAAAGAAACATAATCATTATATAGCATCATACGATTTGTACAACTTTATTGAGAGTGTTGATAGAATTATAAGTAGTTTCGCTAGTATCCAAATGTCATTCTTACCACGTCTAACAGTAGCATAATAACAAGTCCCAGTGTTAACACAACTGGTTCATTATGTTCAGCCGGTCGGGCGTATCTACTGTAGTTGACGAACAGGTCTGTCTGCAGTTGTTGCTCAACTTCGAAACCACGTACATCTACACGGAAGAAAACACACACGCGTAAGATAGCAAAACAAAACATGACATCTATTCGGGTTTTTAACTTTCCTAAAATATTTTTAATTTCAAGTCGTTTTGATTTTTCTATGTTAGTCATGTGTTTGCCAAGCACGTACCCAACTCCAACCCGTATAACATTGGAGATGCCATCGTGGGTAAGAGATTAATTAGCATAATCTGACGCACGCATATGAAATGCGCAGTGTCTATTATTTTTCAGTTACAGGAAATGCGTTCAGTATAATCATGGGCAACGATATCCTGATGTGCAAATATTTTGAGTTGAAGTGACAACATTGACGGCATATCATATCATACCCACACAATTATCACCAAATAGATACGTCATCGTTTAGTTCTTTCCACAATACAAGGCTTTACTTACATGACAGACACGTGATAAAGACAATGACGCAGTAAGTCCCAGCCATGGAAATGCGACAGTTCCCACACGATAAGTGTTTTATTTCTCTGAAAATCAAACACAGAATTAATACAGGATTAAACATGAATATAACTGAACCTAACTTATTGACCGATTTTCTACGTGCGTCTGACACATATTCGATTCAGCCAATCGCTCAAAGTACCATTCTCAAAACATTTCAAGTTGAATTGAATGATTGCATTACTTTTATGTGTTCTTTAACCTCTGATTACGAATCGATCCCCGTAACAACGGATTATATTAGTTTCATTTTGTAAATTGTGGGAAGTCAGAGTGAAAAGTATTGAACGTGTAGCTAACTAAAAAATAAAATACTTAAAGAATATATACAAATAACAAACTGTGGAACAAAATGTAATATTATTTGAATACCAAAATTATTATTTGGTGTTTGGAAGTTCGGCCAAAATTCGATTGATGTACGATGGGACGACACTTCCTATTGGATATAAATTACATGTACATTACACAACACTAGATTAGAGGTCACGACAAAGCCCCTCGCCGATATAAGCAGACGGCATCCCAGTACAGCAAACTAACCGTCCCTACAGGACGGGTCGAAATAACCTGCAATGAACGCGGATCTACCGTGACTAGATTGCCATGTGCAAGCCGGATATGTGATGCCACATACATCATAAATACATCATACGAAGCCGAGTTTTCATGGTCAGTATGATCTATCCAATTATGATACATGTATAATGAAAAATACCAGTTATGATACAATAGTCACCTAGCAAAATTGTTAAACATTTTAATAAATACTTTCCCTATAGTCCCCAATACGTAAAACAAAGATATTGTACTATTATTGCATTCGATCAGCGACCCCATTTCTATGTATCCTGTTGGCGTGAACCCGATATAATGGAAATATCAAAAAGGAATTCAGCCCGAGCTCCTAAAAGTCAGCGAGAGACTGGAACTTACCAAGATTATTGGTTCTCGTCAACACATCACATAATTATTTAAGATGAACAAATTAATATTTATGGCCGACACAGGTTTGTTACCTAATATCTTTTTAAAGGCTATTTTTAAAACTGAAATTGTCAATTTTGCGTCTTGTCCGTATATCAAGTGATATATTAGATAAATAATGCGTCACGGAAGCAAACATTGTTTGACTAGTACACCGATATACCAATTAATTACTTGTGTTACTTTCGCCTAAATTGTGATTAAGATTATATCATTGACTAATCACGAAGACTCGTTCGACTATTTTTAGTCATAATTTGAGCGCGATGTATCCTGGGTAATGTGAGAATTGTACACGATGTGTTTTCACCTATCGCTGCGTTGAGTGTTGCATTATCAAGCCTACATTCTTTTAAGTGCGATACAGTTTAATTATTCTAACAATTAGCCAATTAACTTCCACAGATCTTATATCATGGTGAAGGTGTACCTAAATATGATGCCTTACATTGGCAGCCATTAAGTGTCAAAATGTAATACGAATGGACTTGTGATGCCCATCATGCTTGCCTATTTCAAAATATGCAAATATCTAATTGTAAACTCGAATTTATTGTGAACTTGACCATTTCCATGGCTATCATATAACACAAGTCAAATCAATCAGTTAAATACCGTGACGACAGTCGTGAAACACGTGTTCATAGTTAATATTTAATGCCAATATTTGATATTTGCATTGCACATAACATCTCTCACTCTATAATTTATTTAATGTTTTTACAAATGTATCGATATATCAAACCACACTACCAGAAGTCATGAAGACCCGTGTCAAATCAACAATAACTATTTTATGTCGCTTTAAAAATGAGTTCGATGACAAAACCAATCATTCTTACAACCAGTACGCTCTATGTCAAAAGGAAATTAGTTGCATTAGCCAGAATGAGTTTGAAGCATTTTAATTTAACGATGACGAATTAATTTGTCCGATAAGCGACCAGGGAAATCATAACGATATTTTTAGTAAGTCACTCTTTGTCAGTTACTGTTCATGTAAATATGACAATTATTCTGAAAGCTTGATATAGAAGAACACAATATGGACATGTTTTTAATATTGACTGCTTAAAAAATAGATCACGTAGAATATCAGTTAAATTCGGTTAAAAAAAACGGAATTCACCGTGTTCCTATCACCATACGTTAGAATGCTCACAGCTGTTTCATAAAAAAAAACGAATTACCAAATAAACTCTCGAGGTGTTTTTGCCTCAGACGTTTTCAAATTATAAGCTACGACTGATTACAAATCTGATTTTAGTTAATTGTTTTTTAATTGTTTTTTTAAAGCAAATAAATACATTGTAGTTCCGGGACGCAATTTGTGAAAGTGTCAACGACCTAGTGCGGTTACACGTCTTCTGTGGGCACAACGAGAGGAATAACTTGTGTTTCACTATTGTGTACTTTTTCCCGTCACAAAATCCGTTAAGCAAGTAAATTACAAAGTTAGGTACATGTTTAGTAACAGAAAGAGTCTGATTTAAGTATCAATAAATATGAAGTTTTCCCTTGACACTTTCCTTAGAAGAGCTACCATTTCAATGGCGGTGATTTCACGCCAAAAAATATCACTTAAAAACGTGACTTGTATGCTGACGTTCGCTATTGCTCTGTTATGGTGTGGTCTAAAATGCCAAAGCAACTAAATTCAATATATTTACTAGTATAATAACTAGAAAACAACTATAAGTGAACTTGGGCGTGAATACACAGTCAGTGCAATACTCAGAAGCGCAAAAATTCACGCTTACGGACTGCTTCTAACACATCCTGACTAACAAAATGTAAAAATACGTAACTAAAAAAATGCAACGAAATATCGATAAATATGAGTTTGAAATGTAACTTACAGACTTAGCCGTCAAATCAGAATTACTTCACGATTTAGGAATGATGATCTTTAGAAGACCCACGACGACTCGGAGAAGTGAATTCAAACAGCGACTGTCACCTCAACAGTCCATTCGTCCCCATGACAACAATATTGTGATTGCTCGTTTTGAAATTAGATCAGCGCAGTTAACGTTTTAATAAATACGGCGTCCACTGTCACTGGGATCTGAACGTCCACCTCGTTCGCGTCATGTCGGGTGGAAAATAGTAAAATGGAGACAAAAGAACATTCCATTAAGGCCATTAGGGACACACTCGAAATATTAAAACATAATGCTTTCTTTTTTATCTGAAAACATGTTAAATTATTGATAATAGTCATGTAAGCGTGAAGTAGTGTCCACCCTGAAAAAAAAATGGTTGACCCCAGAAATAAAATATCTGAGCAGATATCCCTAGTTTGCGCTCCATGAATTAAATTGTTCTGTATACCACACTTTTTAAAACACATACCGCATAAATTAACATTTGTTTTTGTTTATTAAATTATTCGCTACGATTCAATAAAGCATTTCAATTGATGTTCGTACCCGAAGATAATACATGGTTTTGCCACTAACTACATCGACTATGTCATTTGTGACTTGAGAGGTCAGCGGTCGCGGTAAATAGAATCATACGAACATACAACGCTAACTTCAAATACGCCGTCTGACTAAATATCAGATATGAAACTCCTTCAGTATGGTTTCTTTACATAAAACATAACTAGCATGATACAATGTTTTGGGATTTCCACTGGTATTACTAAGAGTACATGTGGTCGCTAGCAACAAAGAAAATTCGAGAAATTGAATACTGTAAAGGGGGTAATTATTCACTGGGTTTTAATTTAGCTTACTAGTATTTCGCTGACTGGAAAATGCGCTAAATTAAAACCCAGTGAATATGTAACATTTAGCATAGAGCACATTATCTAAATGACGAAACCGTGAATTGAAAACCCACTGAATATGCCTGAAATTGTAAATCAGTGAAATTTAAACTCAGTGAAAATTAGTCATTTTACAGTATCCATCATCATAATAAAGTGTTAAAATATACATTGGCCTTAAAGTGGGATCTTCATCTTAATTACCCTACGATATAACGTTTTTAGTTTTTCCCTCGTATTTACTATTTCCATTATAAATGTAAATGTGGTCATTGTAATACTTATTTTTTCGAGTGTATCAAATTCTCACAACTTTTTATTTTAATTACACTGTAATATCAGCAACTTCATCCTTAGTTAGGGTCTGCTTCCATATTTATCATGGTTACTATTTACTATCCTGGGAAAACATTGAAGCCTGACTTTTAACGCAACGACTTTCAACACAGAGTGTACGGTTTAAGTTTAATGCATACAATATTTCGCAGCATATACATAATATTTTATATATATTAATTCTATTTTCGAATTGTGTAGCAACTAGGGACACGCTGTTTTCATAATATTATTACATTAGCATCTATCAATTAAGACAACGTCTGTTTACTGCGATGGGAGTACAAACATATACTTGTTCTAATAATCTGCATTGACTGTAACAATATTAACGATTATTAACGACATTGACATCTATCAATTAAGACAACGTCTGTTTACTGCGATGAGAGTACAAACATATACTTGTTCTAATAATCTGCATTGACTGTAACAATATTAACGATTGGTAAATGACATAATGTATAAATATCTTAACACGTCTGTTCATCTATTAATTACGTTTATTACAAAGTGAGATGCAAGAAACCTGCAGAGGGCGCAATAGGGTATTAATATTTATCAGTGGTGGAACTTTATTTAATTTTCACAGTTACATGGAAT